CTTAATTGAGTATATAAATGTAAGATAGAGCCGAATAGTCTTCTTTAATTGGTGTTTGTTAACGTGAGACTTTTACATGAATTACTCCCAGCTCTGATGATTTCCATCGAATATTGGACGAAAGCTCGGCCCATTTTCACCCGAAACGAGGGAAGAGGTTTCGTGGACTGCGTCAACCTGAACGTCTTCTAAAATCCAAACGGATTCGGTACAACGCGATTCATTCGTTCTCTTCTGGTGAGTTCAACCAACGAATCTCTTCTTTATGCACGTTCATACCAAGTGAAAGTCTCCCCAACAGGGTATATATGCATGGGTGTTTGTGTCTGTATACGTGTGCATGTGCATGTGTTATTGTGTGTACATAGGCAAGTTGGAGTTTGCAAAGTGGGTATAATTCAGAGTACTTTCAAAAGAGGCTAATGTCAGTTGTGGGTGAGTACTGTTTGATTTCCCATGGAAAGCATGACCCCGATTGCGTAAGGTCGAAAGTACGCCTGATTGAGATGTTGAAAGATACCCCTTCACGACTGTACGTGAAGCTACCAAATTAGCACTCATAATCAGTCAGTCTTCATTTTGTACTTTCACACGAAAATACAGTTTCTTATCTCTTAAGGCTCATCGAAGCCCAACTACCTTTCTTGTATGAAACGTGATGATTGACGTTGTGCCCAAGAACTGTGCCAATATTTCCTTTGTGACATGTGATGGACATGTTCAGAGCAGGGCACTGTTGGTACAAATAGTTGAACAGGAATCTGCTATCGCATTCTGATGGTACCGAGGTTCGAATCTCGTATTCACACATGCCTACTCATACCAACGAAGTGGGCACAGCTTGTGGACAGTCACTACGCGCTCAATAAGACTGTACAAGACGAAGGAGTAGCAAAAGATTCTGGTCAGTCGTCAAATAACGCGCGAAAACGACATCACTCACCGGTTCGCGTGGTAACTACGAGGCTGGCGGAGCGAAGCCACAGTGCATCGGCAATCTTGGAGACGCCATTTTGTGCGTAGACCTCGAAGCGGTAGCGAGTGCTCGGGGATAGGCCAGAGAGGACGACTCTATGGAAAGTGGAGAGCAAGGAAGAAGACATTGTAGATGTTGGTGGATATTTAGACCAATACGTTGTGTGTGTGTGTTGTTGTTGGCGAGAACAAAAGCAAACGTAAAATTAGGGAGACTCTTGTGGTCCCTGCAAAAAGAAATTCGATAAAAGGGAGATTATAAGAAGGCAGAGTTAGCGATTGTTGAGCTTACTTCCATTTCGAGTAGATGTGTTGGGTGAAGAGATTCGAACACCCAATACTTCTACTCGAAATGGAAGTAAACTCAACAATTATGAAACAAGAGATTCCTCGAAAACCAACTTTGCTTCGTATAGAGTTAACGATAACTTTGTCTAGGGACTACGCAAACTGGGAGAAAACAATGACTCGATGAGACAAGCAAAAGGGAGCTGCTTGGATCAAGGACCTATCGTCAATGAGCATAAAAGTGATCGCAAAAAAGAAGCCTTCTAAAATGAAAAAATATTTTCCGTGAGTGTAGTCTGCTTGAAGAAACAACTAAGACCTTGAGGCTTGACTGTAACGGG